AAACCCGAGCTTTTTCACATATCTGACCCAAAAAATTCAGTTCGCCAAGATTTAGACCCTCAAATCTCCCACCAATACATAAATTTTTCAGAATTGGACTTTCAAAGTCCAAAATGCCTCAGCCTTGAAACATCTGAGATCAGAAACATTGATCAACAGAAACTGCAGCCTTTTCAGCAGTTTCTCGGTGGCACGCAAACGATAGGAACTTCCAACAATGAGCAGCAGAAAAACCGAAGCACGCAAGAGAACGGGCTTTCCAGCAACCAGCACTTTGAGCCAAAACGTCTTTTGCAAGGCTACTCAAATTTTCAGCAACTTGAAAATGGAATCGCACTGCAGATGGAAACAAAGAGCCTTCAGGATGAGCAACAGCAGTCTAATTTGCCATTACCAGCGTTTCCAGCCCTACCGAGTTTTTTGCGTGAACAATCGCAGAAAGATACCTCTGCAGCACAGACTGGGTTTTCTCCTATCGAACCGCAACGTGCATCAACAGCTTGTTCGTTCTCAGATCAACAGCAACAAGCCGAAAAGTCGGACTTTTCTTTTTCGGAACCGGTGGTGATGTTTCCTTGTCCAGATAGGATATTTCAGCGGAACCCAGAAGAAATAGGACCCGCTGCTCACAGTTCTGGACGGCTGGATCTATTTTTTCATCAAAATCCAGGAAATACTCGAGCTCATGATCGGAATCCACCGCCCCGTGAGACTTTAAAAGCCTGCATCCACCATCGCATGAAAAAAGTGAATGGTACAAATCCATCGACAGGGCAGCCCCTGAGTGATATGTCGGAAACATGTCAGTGTCCTCAAATTTTACATCCCGAATTAGAAAAGCAAACAAATTTGTTCGCGATTTTACCAGCTTCAGCCGGTTTCTGCACGGGATGTTCAGCCATACAACCAATAGTTGTTCCTCCTGCAATTTCACGAAATCGGCCTACACAGTATACTGAAGCTTCTGTTGACAATGGTGTCGGATACGTATCACACGAGGAAGCATATGCAGCATCAGTATTATCGGAAATGGAAGCGGATTTATTGGATTGGGTAATCTCGAGCACTTTGCAGACAGAAAGGCCTAATCCGGGACAAGTACCAACGAAAACGAAAGAGGTGGGAAGCGCTGGAGGTGGACAAGCTACTCCAGATCTGAGAACACTTAAGCAGTCTGAATGCCAACTGGAAATAGTTAAAACTGATTTAGAGAATGCTGCAGGGCATTCTTCTTTTGCTTCTCACGAGGACGTTGTGGGGCAACTGGAAGCCCTGTCAGTTAATGATTTCGATAACGTACTGAATTGCGCTGCTTTGGACGAGTTTCACGAAGTTGCTGACTGGTTTGAGAATGTTTTTTTTGAAAACTTTTTTGGCCTAAAGAATAACGCTTCAAATTCGGAAAATACATCATCCGAGGAAAAATCCACTGTGATCACGGATCGGAAAAAGAAAATCGAGGGCGAAAACTCAAGACCAAAAAGGGTTAAGATGCAGCACATAGAGCAGGATTTGTCACCTGGAAATGCGACATTTCTGCAAAGCGTGCTGGGACATTATCCGGAAGGAGTTAGCAACATCAATGTCCAGCATCAATAGTACATGTGGGAGTAGTGATTAATTGTTGATTCAGTTATTTTTTTAATGCAATTTCGTCTTATGAAATAATAAATAAGGGAAGAAACGGAAGTAGCTTTGTAAGCAATTTCTAATTGATATGCCAGGAACAACTAGAGCACGGTACCCATATTAGTGAAATTACTGGAATACTAGCACAGGCTAAACTAAAAGTTTTTGGCATCTTTCCAGCTCTGCA